TATGCGGGCGCCTTCTCATATTGTTGAATTCAAAAGTCCGTTTATCATTGTCCAAGTAAGAGCAGGGCAATTTTTATCCACAGAAATATCCCTTTTTTTATTGTATTTATTATTATTTTCCTTACGGATTTGTCGGCATGTTAAATTAAGCACCTGGGATCCCAGGATCTATGAGACTAGTACAATTATTCTCGAAATGCAATAATTCACTTACGAGCAAGTGTTTCGAAAACACTGCATAGCAACACAGGACAAATTCAATCTTTGTGGGGGGTTTTTCTCTTGCATATCATGACGTCCCAACATAACTTAATGAAAGTTGTCTTCCCTTTTCCCTTTAAGAAAGAGGAGTGTGATCCATTTTGTGCAACGTGCTCCACTCAATTTCACACACACTTTGTCTAGCTAAAAATATCCGAATCGAAGACAGAAGTGGGGACAGACAGGCAGCAACCTGAAAGCAATCATTTAAAGCCAAGACTGCCAGCAGCAGCTGTCCAGTACTGTGTGGCGTGATCACCCCAAAACATATCCCACTCTCATGACACATTAACGGAGCTCTTTCGCACGAAGAAGCGTAACTTCAGGAAGCCAAGGTGCACTTGTGGGTGGGTGTGAAAGGGTGTGTGGGCCATGTGTGTTATATGAACTCATAACAATCAATCAAAAAAGGGACAGTGAGGGGGGGATAACAGTAGAGAAAGAGATAAATTAACTACAGACAGACAGACAGACAGACAGATAGACAGATAGATAGATAGATAGATAGATAGATAGATAGATAGATAGTGGAGTGGTGGAGGGACGGAGAATATGAGAGCGAGTTGTATTATTTGAGCTTTTTTATTTTTCAGGACACAATAAAACATTGATTGTTGCAGTTTGCTGACCCGTAAAATTTGGGGGCTAGATTTCCCTTCAGAACCGAGCATATAATTATGCAAATAGAGATCTGACAGCGATCTAGTGAAGTACTCCCGAAGACAAGGGCCTGGAGGAGTGACAGTCCAGCTTCAGCAAGTGCTCGACTCTTTGAGAGTAGTCCATATTTGGCGGCGCATGAGAGTATGGGAGGAGACGAGAGCGTGTGTGACAAAACACGGATAAAATTGAAATATCAATCAAGGACTTCATAGACTTCAAATACAACGATATTTTTGCAGTTAAGTGTGACTCTCCTGGAAGAGAGCGTCATGACAAAAAGTGTTGAGGATGAAATCAACACATTACCTTAGTGTTCAAAGTCTGACAATTCTAAGGTGAGATGTAAGTTTTAGAGTCTTTGTCTGCAGTGTTTGCACAGAATCCACCAACAGTTCACACAATTTAGGCTTTACAAATTTAAACGGTGTTAAAATAATGAACCAAAACCCACAAATTAGATAAAGTAAGAGAAGTAAGAGAACCATTATATGCTTGCTTTTTTGCGTAACTTAATTTAATTCGTTTAATTTGAAATTAATTATGCATGCTTTCGATTGATTAATTTTGTTGTGTAAGTGTACAGTGTTTGTTTATGCATAAGTTGAGTTTTCAAATTATTTTTTCCATTTATGTTTAATGTAATTATCGGATAAATGGCCCGGCGCTTAAAGTTATTAAAATAGTTAAAAATCATGTCATAGGCCTACAACATGTGACTTTACACCTCTTCTATGATTAACGTTTAATTTCTGAATTACAAGTTTTATTTATTTATTTATTTGTGAGGGAAAAAGTCTATCTGTATCTGTTCTGAGGTATTAAAGTAGCCTATATAAAACTGGATTTCTCGCAAAATAAATGTTAACTAAAGTAGTCAAGTTTTCTTTTTCGAATAATTATTCCTTCAAAAAGACAATTATGAATTTTGTTTTTAAAATATGATTATTTGAAAAACAGTGTGGCGTAACAAAACCATTTTGTTCTCATGTGACAAGGAATCCATAAAACAGAGAGTACATTTTTATACCTACATAACTCTGAGCCAAAGCCACTGCATTTGATTGTTTGATATTTTTCTTTTTAAAAATAATTATATGTAAACACAAAGTAGCTACATTCAAAGGTTCTTTCATTGCTACACCACTTGTAAGATTTGTGTATGTGTGTGTTATACGATTTTTATGCCATTATTTTATGTAACGAACAGTTAATTTTAATTTCTAAAAAAATATTATGTTATAATCTTTGTTTTTCATTCATCTAAACAAACAAACCAGACATGGAAACATTAAATTCCAGCGTTTTTCCTCTCTCAGGACAATTAATCAAAACCTAGAGGCATGACATTTGGTTTATTAATTTTCGCAGGACAGTTGTCGTCATTACCGCTTTGCTATGACTGTGTCACTCTCAGGCCATAATTGCGTAAGTTAAGGTCTAAAACAAGCAGTTGGAACATAATAAAACTAGGTGCTATAGACATGGCTTCATCCGATACTTCTCTGTCTTTGACTGACACTTATTTTGGTTAACATTGGTCTGATCTGACAGCGATCTAGTGAAGTACTCCCGAAGACAAGGGCCTGGAGGAGTGACAGTCCAGCTTCAGCAAGTGCTCGACTCTTTGAGAGTAGTCCATATTTGGCGGCGCATGAGAGTATGGGAGGAGACGAGAGCGTGTGTGACAAAACACGGATAAAATTGAAATATCAATCAAGGACTTCATAGACTTCAAATACAACGATATTTTTGCAGTTAAGTGTGACTCTCCTGGAAGAGAGCGTCATGACAAAAAGTGTTGAGGATGAAATCAACACATTACCTTAGTGTTCAAAGTCTGACAATTCTAAGGTGAGATGTAAGTTTTAGAGTCTTTGTCTGCAGTGTTTGCACAGAATCCACCAACAGTTCACACAATTTAGGCTTTACAAATTTAAACGGTGTTAAAATAATGAACCAAAACCCACAAATTAGATAAAGTAAGAGAAGTAAGAGAACCATTATATGCTTGCTTTTTTGCGTAACTTAATTTAATTCGTTTAATTTGAAATTACTTATGCATGCTTTCGATTGATTAATTTTGTTGTGTAAGTGTACAGTGTTTGTTTATGCATAAGTTGAGTTTTCAAATTATTTTTTCCATTTATGTTTAATGTAATTATCGGATAAATGGCCCGGCGCTTAAAGTTATTAAAATAGTTAAAAATCATGTCATAGGCCTACAACATGTGACTTTACACCTCTTCTATGATTAACGTTTAATTTCTGAATTACAAGTTTTATTTATTTATTTATTTGTGAGGGAAAAAGTCTATCTGTATCTGTTCTGAGGTATTAAAGTAGCCTATATAAAACTGGATTTCTCGCAAAATAAATGTTAACTAAAGTAGTCAAGTTTTCTTTTTCGAATAATTATTCCTTCAAAAAGACAATTATGAATTTTGTTTTTAAAATATGATTATTTGAAAAACAGTGTGGCGTAACAAAACCATTTTGTTCTCATGTGACAAGGAATCCATAAAACAGAGAGTACATTTTTATACCTACATAACTCTGAGCCAAAGCCACTGCATTTGATTGTTTGATATTTTTCTTTTTAAAAATAATTATATGTAAACACAAAGTAGCTACATTCAAAGGTTCTTTCATTGCTACACCACTTGTAAGATTTGTGTATGTGTGTGTTATACGATTTTTATGCCATTATTTTATGTAACGAACAGTTAATTTTAATTTCTAAAAAAATATTATGTTATAATCTTTGTTTTTCATTCATCTAAACAAACAAACCAGACATGGAAACATTAAATTCCAGCGTTTTTCCTCTCTCAGGACAATTAATCAAAACCTAGAGGCATGACATTTGGTTTATTAATTTTCGCAGGACAGTTGTCGTCATTACCGCTTTGCTATGACTGTGTCACTCTCAGGCCATAATTGCGTAAGTTAAGGTCTAAAACAAGCAGTTGGAACATAATAAAACTAGGTGCTATAGACATGGCTTCATCCGATACTTCTCTGTCTTTGACTGACACTTATTTTGGTTAACATTGGTCTCATTGTAAAGGCCTGGGCTCGATCTAGACACAAATATCAGCTTTCGTGATAGAGTTCCACAGCTGTTACGTGAGAAGAGCGAGTCATTCTCCGAGCAGGCTCACCTTCCCTGGGAACAGAGCTGAGAGGAGAGCCGCTGGAGCAACAGGCTTTATCGGGCTCCGATGATCTTTCCCCCCATCAGGTTGAACTTTAACCCGACAACTTCTTGGGCTGAAAGTGATGCCTTTACGATCATTACGTTGTAAATAAGAGTACCATGTACATAAAGCATTTTTTGCGACACAAACCAGGACAGTTAAAATCAAAGATCGTTACGCATCTTTTTTTTTTTTTTATAAAGAACTTTATTTAACTACAGCACGGAGATATTACACTCACATGATATGAAAACAAACTGACGATTAATCAGGGCACAAACTGCCATTAATTCAAAGACGAAAGACTAACATATTTGAACGCTTTATGAAAAGTGAAATCAAAATTAAAATATCGGATCACGTTTTCATTTACTGAACCCTCAAAAGCGAATAAAAAAGGCAGAAAGCATCGTACACTTCTATAATTTCAGACTAGGATGTTTCAGTAAAACGTATAATATCTTAGATTAAAATATTAATTGTTCAAATGAGTCCTTATTTACAAACCAATTAAGTTTTCGATTTGGTTTAAGGCTGTATTAAACGCGAGTGAAATATTCACATATGGCTTGTCAGTTTTGGAAAATCAAATAAAGATGAACGTTGTGTGTTTATTCCTAAAGCAACAATATTGGGATCTGAGTCGAACAGTTTTAACTAGACAGCATAAGCAACTTGCAGTTGATCAGTGGCATCTAATGAATATTTGCAGGAATATTAAAAGTTTAATTCATTGTAAAAACAGTTAAAACACAAAAGTCTCTGGGCAGGGTCTTGCATTTTGTCAGCTGTAGTCACATCTCTATTTTGGATTAAAAAAAATAAATAACATGTAATATGTATAAAGCACTACAACTATTGACATTGATTACCTTCAGCAATCTGAAATAGCAATGATACTTCTAAAAAGTGATGAGACCAAAACAGCCTTTTACTGTGAGATTAATTTTTAAGCGAAAGCAGAGTGATCTGTTGACATGCCTGAATGACATATCTTTAAGCCTCCATTAATACCAAATTGTCCAGGAGACAATGTCTCTTGTCTTTGCTGAGACAGTAACATAACATGCTTTAGCTTTAGCAGAGGATGACAATGATGTGTTAAAACAGTCCAAATAGTCATGGACTTTGCAAAAAGGGCAGGTTACATTTGCAAACACCTTAAGGAATGGCTTTTATACTTTGGATAACATTAAACCGTCCTGATCCTGACACATACGAAGATATTCCAAGACTCGCATATCTGCTCTGTCAAAGGGAGATATTCCTAAAACTCATGCTCGCACAAGGTTTTAAGGGATTTAAAAACTGGGAGGATTCATTCAACCTGTCATGCTGTCAATGGCTTACTTCATTGTGTTCATTCTAAATCTAGTCTTGAGATAGCCATTGAATGAATGTTTGATTCTGCAAGTTGCTTTTTTCCAGTTAAAGTGTTATGTTTATGAATGAGCCTTTAGCATCTGACACACAAAGTTCCCAAGCGCACAAGTTCTTTAAATGCAAGTGAGACCCTGGAAAGAAACAATGAAACAACGGGGTGGGAAACCAAAGAGAGATACAAAGACTTTGCAGGCAGGCACTACGACCCGCCAGACTTGTGTGTGTGTGTGTGTGCAGGTGCTTCCCAGGCATTAGCTCAGTTCAGGACACTGTCAGGATAATTAGAGGTGCATCAAGAGGCGGTGTGCGGCGCTGCCTGTCAGCCTTAATCTGGCCACCGATGGGCCACCACCAAATCCACACAGCGGCCCACATGAGGCACAAGCAGTGAAGCCATATTGCTTTGACAGTTGCACTCATCCAGAAGTAATGCAAAACGCTATTCTGATGTATACAGGCTGACCCTGCACTCCTCAGAGTCGTACAATTCACTGGGAGGAGGGCTTCAAGGAGGAATATTTTTCATAAAAAGAACAGAGGAGAAAAATAACTAGGAGGGGACTAAGGTGGGCTCTGGTTTGGGATCTGTGAGCCCTCTATAAGTCTTCGTTTTTTATGCGGTGTGAGCTCCGTGTGGTGACCGGACTGGAGGAGGACTCATCCTCGTGGTCCTTAAGGGCATCGCTGAAGAACTTGAAGATGGAGTGGAAGCTCTTCCATGATGTTAACTCGTGCTTCTCAGTACCTGCAAAAGACAGAACATGAAGGTGGACGTGAAAAACATACAGCCATAACTGTTTATGATTACAGTAAAATAAGCCACATTTTTATATTTAAAGGGATAGTTAACCCCAAAATGACAACTCTCACATTTAGTCACCCTGTATGACTTCATTTTTTTCTGATTAACACTAAAGATGATATTTTGAAACTTTCACTGTAAACTGTCAGAAAAAATGTTATACCTTTAGAGGTACAACAGCTCGTCACTGGAGCAGTTTCTTTAAAGGGACAACTTTGTACCTCTAAAAGGTGCATATTAGTACCTCAGAGTAGTACCTTAAATACTACTATGCAATTTTAGGAAGAAATAAGGTACAAAAATGGGTCCCACTTTATATTAAGAGGCCTTAATACTACTATGTACTTACATAAAAAAATAATAAGTTCAATGTACTCATTGTGTTCATATTGTAGGTGGAATATGGGTAAGTTTAGGGACAGGTTTGGTGGTATGGGTAGGTTTAAGGGTGGGTTATAATTAATTATAATTATAAAGGTAATTTACAGAAATTAATTAGATGTAATTACATGCCGGTATTTTCAAAATGTACAATGTAAAAACATGTACACAGTAAGTGCATTGTTTCAAATGATTAATTTATATGTAAGTACATAGTAGTTAAGGCCACTTAATATAAAGCGGAACCCAAAAATGTCCCTTTAAGGTTAATGCACCACTGACAAGCTGCCGTACCCCTAAAGGTACAATTTCTACATAGTCTGAGTGTATGGACAATAATTACACTTTTAAAAATGATCTTTTGTGTTCTGCATAAGGATTGGAATGATATGAGGGTGAATAAATGATGACATAAATGATAATTTTTAGACCGAACGGTTCCTTTAACACTTCCTACTGAGGTCTCCAGGGCCCTTAGATTAAAGGAAGTGATGTGAGGACCGTTTCATACTCTAAATAGTTTAGTACGTCTGATGCCAAGCAAAAACGTTGGACTCTGTGTTGTGTACTGTGTGCCCCGACACAACATTTTCCATGTATTAGGATATTGCGCACTTAAGGACAATGGATGGAATGGCCGCTATCCATGGAAGATTAAATTTTCTCTCTCTGGAGCTCGATACACCTATCAGTTAATCCACAAATAGCTCCGTTTTCCCCTCTGTGGCAGCAGGTTAAAGAATTCCCATGTTTGGGTCATTGGATCCAGGTGAAGTGACATGTACACCCTAAGTCCTCATCAGACCTTTCAAAGTTCCACAAGAGCCTTTCACAGCCCTCATAATGCAGCACTTTCAGACAGGTAGCGTCTGGCGCGAAACAAGTACATTGGGTCTGTTTATTTATTGTGCTGTTTGTGAGAAAGGTTGAATTGAACCCCGGTTAGATCAATTCCTCTTTGAACCATTCACACCGTACGTAGCTTAAAGCATACGACTGCCTTGATATATGTCTGCATCAGTTTGTGTGGAACAAAGAGGATCAGACTGATGTGCTTTTCCCCCTCAATCACAATTTCTAATTCTTTTCCCTCCGCATTGCAACTGGTGCATGAACTTGCCCGGAGGGATCCAATTAAAGACCAACTTTAAGGCCCATGCCAAAAGTGTACTCAGATGACCATGATATTAACCTCCATGTTTATTACATTGACCTCTGTCTGGCCAGTATTGATGAAGATAGCTGTGGTGAGATGGGAAAGAGGTGTGTGCTTGTGTGTGTGTGTGTGTGTGTGTGTGTGTGT